GTTCATACCCAGACAGATATGTTCATACCCATATGAGTACGTTCATACCCAGACAGATATGTTCATACCCATATGCGTACGTTCATACCCAGACGATGCGCCGCATCGGACATCGGACATCGTACTTGTACGTACTACTCGTAGTCCACTGCATACGACGCATGCCATGCGGCCACGACTCAGTCGATAGAATCGATAGAACAAGAGGAGGAAAAATTACAGCGAGAGCCGCCAACACACCCAAGCCAAGCTACGGTACAAGTACTCGTACCGGCATGTAAAATGTACCGGCACTTCGAAGTATGTTAATCATACGGAAACTGGTACCAGGTACCGTACGCTCGAGCTGCAGCTGTAATGATCAAACAGGAACGGAACTATTGTAGATTGCACAATCCCAACCCGAAACCACAGAAAAGCCGTCCGTAGCCCACCATCCTGCTTCTGCCGACCGTTTGTCACAGCACGGCTCTGAAACCACTAGGAGCCACCAGACCACAACGCAGCAAACCACAACACAACGCAACAAACCGCAAGACCAGCCCGATCTTGCTTGCCCCGCAAAAACCACAACAACCACTAGCACAAGCACTAGCACCACCGCGAACGCACACCACCGTCATGCTGCTCGTCGACATCGGCCAGCTCCCCTCCCTCAAGAAGGGCATGTCCAGCGAGGAAGAGGCCTCGAAGCGGCGCAAGACCTGCCGGTTCATCGAGGAGGCCGGCCGGAGGCTGAAGCTCCCCCGGGTGGCCATCTCCACCGCCGAGGTCTTCTTCCACCGGTTCTACGCCCGGCACGCCTTCCAGGAGCACGACCGCTTCGAGGTGGCCGTGGCGGCCCTGGTGCTGGCGGCCAAGACCGAGGAGGCCCCCAAGAAGCTCAACACGGTCCTGCAGGTCTGCCACGGCCTCAAGACGAAGGGCCAACAGATGGGCCGCCTGTCGGCCAGGCCCGGGGACGCCGGAAACAGCGGCGTCGGCGAGCCCTCGGACCCTCCCCCCCTCGACACCAAGGGGGAGGAGTTCCTCAAGCTCAAGGAACGGGTCCTCCTGCTGGAGCGGATCATCCTCCACACGATCGGCTTTGAGCTCTCCATCGACCACCCGTACCGGTTCTTTGTCGAGCAGATCAAGAAACTCCTCCAGGGCCGCAAGCTAAGGTACGCCAAGGACTCGAGCTCCGAATCCCTCGATCCCCAGGCGGCCCGGAAGAAGATGTTCAACGACCTGGTCCAGTACAGCATGAGCACGGCCAACGACAGCTACCAGACCTCCCTCTGCCTCCAGTACGGGCCGAGGCAGATCGCGACGGCCTGCGTCTTTCTGGCCTGCATGTTCCTGGGGATCGAGCCGGAGAACGGGGACTGGAAGACCACCCTCTTTGAGGGCAGCAGCAGCAGCGCCCAGGGGGGCGGCCCCGAGCGGGACCACGACGAGGACCTCGAGGCCCTCGTGAACATTTGCGCCCAGATCGGGGACCTCCTCTCCGACAAAAAGTCGAGCGAAAGGGACGCGGTCCGGAAGCTCCGCGCGGCCCTGAAGCACCTCCGGAACGGCGCCGGAGCGGGCGCGGCCTCCGGCTGTTCCCGGTCCCCCCTTCCGCCCAGCCCCCGGCCGCCTCCCCCGCCGCCGCCCCCGGGGGCCTCGCCGGCCAAGCGGCGAAAGGTGGCGTAGGCCCCCGGGAGAGCGATTGAGCGAGCGAGTTGCCGAGTTAGCGAGTTGGCCACCCGCGGGGCAAACCGGGAGGCTCCGGAAGCAGCACACCAAAGCAAACYAGACCAAAAAATCCGACGCAACCACTACGGCGGGAGAGGGGGCGGTACGGTGTGCAATCCTACCCCAACACAAGCACCGGAGCAGATTCTTTGACCGCAGAGAAAMCCCACACTTGTACCCTATGATCCAACGAAAACCAATGAACGAAGAAGGACGAAACAATTGAAATTACCAACTCGAACACCTGTACACTATAAATAATAAACGRACRRAACAGTTCCTACTGCAACACCAACCTAAATTGTTACTACGGTATTCGTCGTTTTGCGGCTAGCGTATAGGGAATATTCGTAGTGATCGCGGCTGCGCTTGTTCAAGGGATCTTGTTGGATGCATCGGTGAAGGGATCGGTTCCGAACAGCAACCACCAACCCATCCCTGGATGCCAACGCGTATGGTATTCGTGGTAAGGCAACACCGCAACAGTATCGCTCGATGGGCATTTGCATTTGTTCACATTGAATTCCTGCAGGGAAGGCAGGAAAGCACCGCCAATCATCGATCGATGCTTCAGTAGTTGTTCGGATGGTGCGATGCGATGCGATGCGATGCGATGCGATGCGATGGACAACCGAACCAGTCGAATGCGGAGTGGACCTGGAAATCGTTTCGATCGTACTCGCACTGTATGTATTCCCATCGTGCCCGCCACCTTCTCGAGGCATCGAGGCATTGCTTGCTCGGCCGTCGTCTCCTCGTCCTTGCTTGCTCGTTGGATTGCGTTGCGTTGGATTGCGTTGCATTGCGTTGCATTGCAYGGCAGGCAAGGCTCAGGCACCCGGGGTGCRCCTGACGAACCGGCCCGTCGAAGCGTCGCGGCCGATCTCGTCGTGCCCCAGCACCAGGCCGTGCATGCAGATCCCCACAAAGCCGGGGGGCAGAACCTGCGCCGCGGCCACGGCCATTCCCAGGTGAAAGTCGGCGTCGCTGTTGGAGAAGCGCTCCGGCCGCATGGCCCCGGTGAGGAGGACCGGGGGAAGCAGGTCCGAGTGGCCGCCGCCGCTGCTGCTGCTGCCTCCGAAGCGGTCGGCCAGGAACCGGGCGGTCTCCGCCATGGTGTCCGTCCCGTGGGTCACGACCACCCCGTCCAATCGGTGGTTGCTCTCGTTCTCGCTGCTTGCAGCGGGCTTGGCAACTCTCGAAAGAATGGTGTCCGCCAGCTCGGAGCGATCGGCATCGTTTACCTCCGTGCTGTCCTTGCGGCAGACCACCGCGAGCTCGTGCGAGAACGAGGGGGTCAGCCGCTCGCTCAGCAGCCGCTGGACCGCCGGCTCCTCGGAGATCTCGAATCCCCACCCGTTGGTGGTCCTGGGGTAGTCCTTGTCGATGGTTCCGCCGGTCTGGACAAAAAGGATCCGCATTGTTTTGCCGCGGTTTTCTCGCTACTAATGTCTTGTGTTGGTTCCTATTACTGGTTAGCAGTAGTAGTTGTTGCTGCTGCTGCTTTTGTTGTTGTTGTTGTTGTTGTTGTTTGTTGTGGGTTGTGAAAGGAATGAAGGATTTGCAGCAGTTTTTGTTGCTGATTGCTGATTCGCATGGTTTGGGGGAGCAGGCTCGCGGATTCTCCTGGAGGGAAGTTTGGATCCAAAGATTTTTTTGTTTCTGCTCATTCCCGCGAAAAATAATGTAACAATCCAGTCATTCCCGAAGGCCTTTTAAAAAAGTGCGTAGTAGGAAGTACGAGTACTACTAGAAAAATTCAACCTTGCAACAAACTTCAATTTCAAGTAGAAATAACAACTTCTTTGAATTCAAAAAGTGACGCTGAAAATAACCTCAAATCAGAATACTAAACACCATCTAGGTGTATAGCTACATTGACACTGCACTACTACAAATACAATTACAAGCAACCAACAGTGCTTGGAGGAAATGTTACTAGCAGTTCTACTACTTGTAGTAGCAGTTGGTGAACGGTGCATAGAGAGGTTTGGTTTATCCTGATGGATATCTTTTGTAGAGGCTATCAACTGCTTTCTAGTTACTATAACGTATTACTACGGCGTACAAATCCAGAAATGTCATACACGAAGATGAATATGATTGYAGAAAAGGGATACAAGGATGACGAAAGAATAGTATGACTGGAATATATTCGAATGGAGAATGCACGAAAACCATTCAAAAATAATTCGACAGTGATTTGTCCTCTAGTTTCTATTGAACGCTACTTAGCTTTGAGATTCGAAATATACAATACTGTTGCAAGATGAAGATTAAGACGACGACGACGAAAAGCGGCTAGCGGGGGGATTCAATGAAAAAGCTATGTTGCGTCTGCGCATCTATCCGAGCGGTGGAGTTTTCGTTCACTGGCTGTTGATGGGSGTTGCCGGTGCCTACAGGCACCAACTATCTTCGCTTGGTTCGTTTTGTGGCCAAGCCGCGAACGGCATTTGCGTCATTTTCCGTGCCCGTGGGCGAGGTAGACCTCTAGCAGGCTCGTCGTGGATTGGTTGAACCCCTGAACGGTCGCCCCGGTCCCCCTCGACACCGCCAGCTGCGACCGTATCTTGGAGCTCATGAAACAGCCCAGCTGGGTGCCGTACCGGTCAAAGCTGTTGATCCCCCACAAAAACCCCTGGGCTGCCGTCCGGTGCTCGTAAAGAGCCACCAGCTGGCCGACGCTGAAGGGGTCGAGCCGGGTCATGAGGATGCTCGAGGACGGCCGGTTTCCGGCAAAGACCATGTGCTCCCGCAGCGTGACCGGGACCCCCTCCGACACCAGGTCCATCAGCTCYTTCCCGTAGGCCAGCGCGTCGGGCTGCGCGAAAAAGTTGCACATGAGTTCGTCGTGGCTCGAGATGGCCTCCCCCGGGAGATCCAGGGGCCGGGGGGATTCCATAAAGCCGATAAAGTCCGCGGGGATGACCCGCCCCTGGTGCATGAGCTGGAAGAAGGGATGGTTCGTGGTCCCGCCCCCCGGTTCGCCGAGGCTGATTTCTCCCGTCAGGTGCATCAGCTCGGTCCCATCGACCGCAACGCGCTTGCCGTTCGATTCCATGTCCACCAGCTGGACGTAGGTCGACAGGCCCCGTAGGGCTTCGGCGTAGGGGATAAGGGCCCTCGTCGTGTACCCCATAAAGGTCGAGTTCCAAAAWCCGAGGAGGCCCAGCAAGACCGGRATGTTGTCCCGGAGGGGAGCGTTGAAGAAGTGTTCGTCCATGTCGTGGGCGCCGCTGAGGAATTCCGAGACAATCTCGTAGGAATACTGCAGGCTAAGTGGGAGAACGCCGACGGCGCTGCAGACGCTGAAACGCCCGATCACCCAGTCCCATATCCGGAAGAGGTTCYGCTCGGGGATTCCGAGGCATTGCTCCGGTGTGGTGCAGCAGGTCACGCCAACGATGTGTTTTTCGGTGATTTCCGCTTCCGTCACGATTTCCCCGCCGGGAGAGGACTGGAGCTGCGACGTGAGCCAGTGGCGGATGCTCCGAAAATTAGACAGCTCGATCGAATTGTCAAAGTCTTTCGAGATGACCACCACCAGGGTCCGCTCGGGATCCAGKTCCCGCGTGTTGAAAAAGGTGTCTACCGGATCGATGTTGGACAAGAAATGCAGGCGGCGTCCCTCCGCGGCCTTGCAGGCTCGCTTGTCGGCCGAGAGCGCCTGGTGCACAAACTCGGTCCCGAGGTGGGTTCCCCCGGCAGAGGATACCACCACCGTGTCGGTGATGCGTTTGTTGGTCACCCCCCTCAGTCCCACCGAGTGRTCCAGMGATCGAATCTGTCGGCTAAAGACCTCGATGCGRTCTCGAAYCTCGTGCACCGCCGCCAGRACGTCTTCCGAGGATTCCTGCRGCGAGTCCATGGTGTTCTTSGGCTGTTGTGCGTATCCATTGGCATCGTTGTGGAAGGCATCGTTGCCGCCGACACCGGTGTTGTTGCTGGCRTTCCGGCTGCTACCCGTTTTAATGGGAGGAAAATCGTACCCCCTGGGCATTCGTAGGACATGGTGGAGGACGGGCTTGCCCTCGGTGACATTGATCTTTTCTCCCGTCCGAAAGGCCTGTCTCCGTTCCGTGAAGCGGACGGCATCGGCCAGATCGAACAAGAGTTCCATTGTCTCCCCCGTGACCTGCTGCCGGGAGTAATCCAGAACGATTTTGGAGCGGTTYCCGAATCGCTGGAGGAGGAGCAACTGCTCGTTGGCGTCCTCCTCGTCGGCATCGCTAACACCACCACCATTGCCGTCGAATTCGTCCATGCTGTTGCGCCTGTGCAGCCCGATCCTGCCATTGTGGTTGCTGTTCGTGGATGGAAGACCGGTCTGGAAAACKTGTTCCTCGCCTTCCTCCAGCAGCGAAGAGGGGATCGTCGATGCCGACCACGCGGCAACGTGAACGGCCGTCAGTCCCGAGCACCTTGCCGTGTCGTTGCACAGATTTCTCAGGTGCAGCTTTTCGTCGCAATGGAATTCCGCCGCGGCGTTGTGGAGAGCGTCGAACTGCGGAACCTCTGTGCACTTCGGATAGTAAGTGTACTGGTTTTTGTGTTGGTGCTGTTGGTGGTGCCGCTGGTTATCGTAGTCTCCRAAGGAGCTGTAGCTGTTGTGGTTCGAGTGGACCGACGAGTCTAAGCTCGACATCCACGATGCGTTGGTTCCATGGGAACGGTGCTGAGAACGCCGTTGCGAGTGGGACATCTTACTGTTGGTTTTGTACGATGCTCTTGTTTTTCCAGCTGTTCTGTTGTCGGAAAAATCCCTTTTTATTGAATCAATTCTTGCGAACCTAATGCGATGCAATCTTRGTACTTTCTTGCAATGAGCACCGTATCTAGTAATCGTATTACCATTCAATACAATTGGTAAGAAATCTATCGTTCAAACCCAACGAATTCGAAAAACTTTGATCTGATTTGTGTTGCCGGCTTTTTTTCGAGGCCAAAGAGCTCGCAATCCTTCCTTTCTTCTTTCCTTTCCACGCTTTTGCCTACACTTCGATGACGATAACAAGCATTGAGTTTTGCAATCAAAATCAAAAAACCGCATGGGCATTGACCATCGACGCTGCCGTAAACGTTGCGTGAAAGTGCTACTAATGATGTAATGATCTACAGCAAGATCTAAGTTTGTTCAGAACAGTAAGAGACAGGGTTCATGTGATTACGTATGGTACGTACAGTGTGAGCATATGATTACGGTACCTCGAACGTACGACATAAACTATCACGTCGACACCAACAACCAACAAACTTGAAGCTTAGTTCTTTCCATACCGAACAGTAAGGTCGTTTGAAGCAAAATTGGTGACCAAGACACAGTTTTCGTTTTGTTTTCTTGTTTTTGGCTCCTTTTCCGCAATAGAGACAGCGACATGTAAGATGCCACCCCAATTCGCTGGCTTTGCTTCCAGCGGCGAGAGAACGACAGCAACAACGACGTCCTTTGGACTCCTGGACTTGTTTCTGGGAACGACCGGAATCCGGACTCCCGATGCCGCGTGGGAGTTTCTCACCGCACGGGAGCTCGCCAATTTGCGCTGCATCTCGAAGTCCTATCGCGAGAACCTCGAGCGGCGCTTCGAATACCTCTGCTGCCGCGACGGAAGGGACTATATCGTTCCCTTTCYCGGGTTTCCGGGCCTTTTGAGACACGCCGAGGGAGAAAGCGCCACCCCGACGGGCACCGTTGCCAACGGAAACTCGGTCTCCCGGAACGAGCACAACCGGGCCGGCTTGTACCCCCACCAGCTGGCGAGCCTGCGTGCCATGCACGAGCTTGAATCGAGGACGGATGCCTTCGGAGCCCTCCGGGGCGGGGTTCTGGGCGATGCCCCGGGCCTCGGTAAGACGATCACCACCCTGGCCCTCCTCTCGTCGACGGCCGGGAGGCGTCCACTCGATCCTCCCGAATTCTGGGACTCGGACGGGATCAAGGAGGGCTGGAGGGCGATGCGGGGGAATCCCGCGGCTAGGGAGGAGGTCCTCCGTTGCCTGAAACCAGTCCGGCACGTTGTATCGAAGGAGGAGCTCGACTACCTTTCTCCGCCCTATTTTGAGCCCGGATCTCTGCGAAAACGGCAAGCCAACACGTACCCCAACCGGGAGGATCTCTTTCCCTCCCTCGAGAGTTTTCGGAAACACCTGCACAAGCTGCTGCGGGGAAAGGGATTTATCCGCCCCAGAGCCAGTCGCTCGGAGTGGGAACTGGTCCGACAGAACCTCAAGGGGCTGCAAATGGGCATGGACAAGCGGAACCGAAAACTCATRGCCTCGAAGGAAGGGAGGCGTCTTACGTGGGAGAGGCAACTCATCCCCACGACCGCCACGCTGCTGGCCGTACCAGACGCCCTCTTTGAGCACTGGTTCCAGCAAATCCGGGAGCACCTCTGTCTGTCGGTCTTTGCCGAGGAYGGGGGCTGGGGGGACACGAAGACCGCAGAAGCAGTGCCTAGAGGGGTAGTCTACCTCGACGGCCTTGGGGATCTCGCCGATGTCACCACAGGAGCAAAGGCTCTGAAAAATACATCCGCCCTAACGGAACCGGTCCTGAATGCAGCGGGTCTCTCTGGCTACCTGATTGTTATTGTGACTTTTTCTCGCTGTCGAAGAGATTTTAAATCGGAGCACGATAGTATGAGCCATAACGATGACAAGAGCAGAGCCGGCACAAAACGCAAACGATGGGGTTGCTGTGCTGCCGAAGCGCTAGCAAGAATAGGAAGAACCACACAGYCATCCTCGCTCCTGCAGCTGCGTTGGCTGCGGTTGATGGTGGACGAGGGCCACCAGCTAGAGACAGACGACGCGCTAGCCAAATTCATCCACAAAGTGGCGGCAGAACGACGATGGGTGATAAGCGGGACCCCGTTGACGGGGAACGAAGACAATCCGGAATACAACAGCGCTGCGCTGGATCAGCTGCAGAGGATTCTCTACTTTTTGCGCCATCCGAGGTATGGTGTCTCCAAATCGGAAGATGTAGTGGAAGCCTGGGAAACGGAGGTCAAGAAGCCCTTTCTTGCCCGACAGAGCCGGGAGAAATTACTTGCTGTGTTGAGAGAAATCATGGTCATGCATCGAAAGGAAGACCTGAAGCTTCCAGAACCCGTGTTTCTTCAGATCGAAAGGGAGGTCTCTGTTCCCCTCGATGTCGAAGCGGCCATCTTGCAACAAGCAATGGATTCTCCATTCGGATCCCTGAGTATCCCCTACGGACTGAACCAGTACCTTCACTCACCCGAATTCCAATCCCTCGTTGATGCGGCGCAGGCCACTTACGTATTGGAGACCTTGCAAAGGGCCCGGAAAGCACTCGTTCACAACAACAATCAATCCACAAGCACCGACACCCGCCCCATCAAGGGTGTAGTGTATTCCTCTTCAAACAAGGATCTCTTGTCGGTGGCCGATCAAATTCTCCGAGCAGTAGCCCCCGAAAGCGTCGCCGAGCTCTACGGAAACTCTACCATCGCAGACATGAGCTCCGAGCTGGAGCGCTTCCGCCACGGGAATCGGATGTACCGTACCTGTCCCGTCTGTGGGGGCGAGAACGCGACTACCGACCTTCGCTGCCGCAGGATCTTGATGGAGGTGGTGTCTTCTGTTACAGGGGAGCGATTCCTGATCGAACCGGAGCGGGTCCTGTCCACCAGGAACGTTTCCCTTGTGCGGCTCCAGGGCGAGCCTTTGAAGAACTACCCAGCGAACAGGAAGTTTTGGAGGGTCCGCGACTTGCTGGAGGTTGATGTTCGGGGCTGCCATCCGCTCCTGTCGGAACGCAAGCCCCACGGGGTATGGGACGGGTACGGTGCCGAAAAATGTCGGAAGAAGGCCCTGGCACATCGCTACGAGGGCAGAGACTGGTTCTTCGGTCCGCTGCCCGATGTATCCCCCGACGCCGACCATTCCCAGCCTGTACCGATGGAAGTGATTCTGAAGAAATGGCAGCGGTGCGGTGACTTTCACAACAAGAGTTGGTACGCCGGCCCCGGGCTCGCAGATTCACCGGTGATGCGGAGGAAGGAAGACGTATTTTTGTTGTGCCTAGATGCGGACCTGGGCCACGGGTTGGACCTTAGTTTCGTGACCCACATTTTTCTGCTCGAGCCCATCAACGATGCGGCGCTGCTGGAGCAGGTCACATCCCGCGCCCATCGCCTTGGAGCCACGGGCCCGGTGAGCATCGAAACGATCAACACATTCTACAAGTGTTCGGACGAGTTCCAAAAACGAGTCGATGGTTCGATGGTTCTGAATCAGAACAAGGAGCAAGGCGGTTCGCAGAGCAGCAGTGGGAAAAGCGATAGGCACAACGACCAGCTGTCGCTGCTCCACAATGCCCACCGAAAGGCCTCCCTTACGAGGGTCGTCTGCCACCACTGCTACCGACAGTTTGACTCCTACGCAGAGGCCGAGGATCACGAAAAGAGGCTCTGTCTTCGGAACCCAAAAAACGCCGCCGTCGCCGACAAATTCCATCTCTCCTCCGTCTATAAAGAGATTCGACCTCCCCTCCCGATGGAATCCTCTTCCATTACGGAAGGATGCATCGATGCCTCGTGAAATCCTTCCGAACGAAAGGGATGACGATGTTTTCAGTTTGCAGGGTTCTAGTTTGGTGCGTTGTATTCTCAAAATACTGTAGACTTAGGGGCCAGTTTGGCAGAATTTGCGATGCTACCATCAGAAATTCGTTACCATCAAGCAATCGAAGAGTGCCAGTAGCTAGTCTTGCTTAGATTTATAAAGTTGTTTTTCAGTGCCTGTTTCTCCTTGCATGTTGCCGTCACACTTGCCAGTTCCTTAATTATTGAAACGTAATACAACACGTCCTCCTGTTCTAGCCTTGACTCGAGATGTCAGAATGAACGCCACCGTGTAGTACGAGTAAATAGTAGGATGCGAATTCTGAGAGAAGGGATAGTACTACTAGGCATTTTCCAACCTCCATTGCAACATATGGATATGCACTCCTGTGGGTACATACGTACGTGCCTCACCTAGTACGAAGTGTAGTTTCTCGTTTCAAGTACGAGTATGAGGTTGTACCCGTACATACTACCCTACGATACGAGTAGGACATCTAAATGCTAATCCACTCGTTCGTACGCGTACATAACGGTACCTACCTTGAACAGAGAGTCAACAATCAACAACAGATCAGTACGAAGGAGTACGAGTAGGATAATAGGAGTTTTTTGTTGTTTTTGTGAATAAGGCAGGACTCTCTTCGATTCCTTGTTCCCCCCATCTCGACATCCGCAGACTACGATGAAGAAAGCGAGCACAATGGCAACAACGGGGTTCGTGTTTCTGGCATCACGTACCATTAGCATTATCCCCACGGCTCGAGCCTTTACGCTAGTCACACCAAAACACGCTGCTGTTACCGCAAGAAATCGCTTTCTGAGCACGAGCATGAACGCTTCCGGACCGCGCCAGACCGCCATCGAGGAACGCCTCACGGAAGCCTTCGCTCCGACCTTTCTCGACGTCCAGAACACATCTCACGGACAAAAGTCCGATGAGAGCCACTTTAAGGTGGTCGTGGTGTCGGAGGCCTTCGAGGGAACCCGATTGGTGGGCCGCCACCGGGCCATCAACAAGGCCGTCTCGGAATCAGATGGATCGCTCGGGTTTCACTCCCTGGAGATTGGAGCAGCTAAAACACCCGAGGAGTGGAACCAGAACTCTAACGTAGCGCCCTCACCAAAATGCCAAGGCGGAGACGGAAGGGGTATGAAGAACTGAGGTAGCTCCTTCTTGATACTAATAAGATATCGACTGGTCTTCACAGAAGAACGGAAGAGTTTCGCCGCTCGTTGGCATTTCTCCTTACTGAATCGTAAAAGTTCAATGCCAAATATCTGGTAACAACCATGTTTTGTTTCGCGCACTGATGGAACCACACACTACGARCAAAGAAACATGTATAGTATGAACTTTGAATTATTTTAACGAAAAAGTAGAKCGATGGAAACCAGAATACGAAGAAAGAAACATGGATAACGTGGACTTTAAAATATTCAAACAAATACTTTAGGCGATCGGTGACTTGTATTTAAATTCGCCATCGACCTAGTATCAACTATATTTTTCATTGTTCTGTGTGGTGATTTCGATAGAACGTATCCATCGATCTCTATGAATCTGTGCAGGTCCACAGAGTCTTGCACATTCTATCCACAAGTATGATAAAGCTTTCGAGATGCCATTTTTCTGGCTCAAAGAGACAAAAAGCAGATCTCGGTGCTTCCGATATCATCATAAATCAGAAAACTCGTTTTCCTTTGTATTCCATATACAAACGAATCGAGCCGCTGAAAATTTACTCTCGGTTACTTCCGAAGAGACCCTGGTCCTTTTTTGAGTGACCTGCCCTTCTTCCGATCCCTCCAATCGGCAAAGGTTCCGGAAAAACCCTCTTCGTCATTCCTAGCATTCCTTTTTTTGGAGGGACTACTAGTTGCCACTGATTTGTTAGGTTTCTTTTCCGGGCCCTTGGAGGTACTGTCACCAGCCAAAGTGTCGTCTGGTTCTTCCTTCGTAGAGTCAGATGCTTCTTCGTCACCCTCTGCACTTGCAAGGGTTACATCAGAGTCCTTCTTCCCATTGCTCGCTATAGAATCCTTGGCGCTAGAGGAATTCCTTATCGAGTCTCCTTCGGTCTCCTCCACACCATTTGCTGCTACGTTCTTTTGCTCGGTTAGAGTTGGTAGTTGGTTGAAAAGAATTTGGCCCAGGGGGTTGTTCATGTTCTGTGCGTAAACTCGTTCGAGGGGAAAATCAACATCACTAATTGCTATCACTTCACTGAGCCACGATGAGAGTTCTTTCGGATCGTTTGTGCGGGGGCGCTTGGTCAAGAGTTTGTTCCACATGGATTGGCGCTCGGAATCCACCGAAACTGAGCTTGTTTTGTTGTCATCGGCATCGATAATAGACGCTTCGACCTTGGCTTCAACTACATCGGATTCCATTCCCTTGCGCTTGCCGTCTTGGTCACCGGTAGGTAAATGCTCATTTTCCTCTTTCTCTGGCGGCTGCGGGTCATTGATTTCTATTTCTGCCTCGCTGCCACTGAGTTCTTTGTCACATGGAATGCATTCCATTTTTTCGGGTTGTTCGCCTAGTGTGTCATCGTCATCGTCATCTTCCTCGTCCTGGAGGTTGCCAGCACCCATATTCTTGGACATTCCATGATCATGTCGGCGACTGAAGTTTCGTTTSGCTACCGGGGCCATGCAATAGGCGCAATATCGGAACTTGACTCCTCCGTTGCGACATGCAAAATATGAACAAATAAGATTTTCTCCGTGTTTCGCATCTTCCGATATCACAAAGTAGGCCGACTGAGTTCATAGCCGTATCCCATCAAGCAATCAACGAAAGGAGAGAAAAGAAAACAGAAAGATTAGAAAATAACTAAAACAACAAAATTCGAATCAAAAGTAGGAGGTATAATCAATATTCCGTGAAACAGCAAAACTCTACTCACAATGAAGTTATGATTCATCGGCTATTCGATTATGTGTTCGAAAAAGTCAATGTTGAAGGAGTGAAAAAAAAATTAGTGAGATTGCAGCCGCTTTCCATGAAATACTCAACGCCAAATAAGATACGCAAGCACGATTCTCTATRAGTTAGTTTCAGGCTCCCTAGATTTCACACGCACCATTCCCCTGGCTCTGCACGGGACAATGACAGTTCCGGGAGTATTGCGATGCTCCTCTTTCGTTTTGATGGAGGCAGCGGTTGTAGCAGCTGCTGCGGCGTCACCAGCGACCATTGGTTCGGAAGTCTTCAATTCTGGATCCGAAGACTCTGGCGTGGAGCGCTGCTGACCGGATGATTTCTTTGGAGCATTGATAGTTGGTTTTGTCTTGGAAGGAGCAGTCGAAGTCTTCGATGATGTCGATACAGTCGACGCCTCGTCGCCTTTGGGTGCTCTGTCGACGTCGGTTTTGTTCTTGGAAACAGCTGCAGCTGCAGCAGTGGGGCCATCTTGTCCCTGCGGWGCMGAGGAAAATACCGAAGACGGAGCTTCTGAGGCCTCAGAATCCCTCTTGGACAATGCCGTGGTCTTTTGAGCAGACGCAACAGTAGGTGCTGGATTGCCGCTTTGGGTTTTGGGAACGTTGCCGATGAAAGAACTGCCGCTGTTACTGGCGATGACGCCACTTGGTCCACCACCATTCAAGGGTGACTGTGCACTAGTTGCCGCGTACCTTTGTGTCTGGTTGACCCGCCCTAGCTCCTGCTCCAGGGCAAAGGCTCTCTGGTGGTTGTTTTGTTGCTGACGATGGCGCATTAGAGCATTCATGTCTAGRTGCTCCTGCATGCGGCCGAGGTTTCCGCCGGGACCAGGGGGACCCCCACTCCCAATGGTGGGTGCGCTTCCGTAAAAGGCCGAAGGATCTGATTGAGCACTGKTGGGGGATGATCCCCCTGCCGAAGCGAGTCCGTAATCACGGAGGGTAGCGGCCCTTGCCAGGAGAGCAGCCTCCTGCTGCTGCTGAAGGATGTCGCGCTGGGGTGTTCTTGCGGGGGGAGAGGAGGAGTTGCGCATAGACGAAGTCGATAGGGGACCACCGGTACGTGAGTGCTGCTGCTGCTGCTGAAATGCCTGCATGGCAGCCTGGAGCTGGAGCTGTTGGCGATGCTGCTGTTGGTTGTTATTTCCACCGCTACTTCCTCCATATGGATGCTGCTGCTGGTTTTGGTGCATCAAAGCCTCCGCTCGGAGGGCAGAGGCTCGCTGGAGAATCTGTTCCTCGAAGAGGGAGGTCGCTGCGGTGCCRGAATTCCCAGCTCCCATGGACTGGAAAGCATTGAGGGATGGTGGCTGTTGAGTTCTGCCGGCTGCTGCATTTGCCAAAAGATAGGCAAGCTGAGGGTCCTGGTTTCGGGCTTGAAGCTGGGGGTGTCTCTGGAAGTGCTGCTGGAACTGTGGTGGGATGGAAGGACGGCCTTGYTGTGCGTGTTGTGAACGYTGTTGTTGGTTGTTTTGTTGGTGGTGATGCTGACGGTGATGATTGCCACCGTTCAAATTGTTGTTGTTCATAATATTTAGGAACGGTAAAGAGCTAGTGAAAAGTCCGATCAATATTTCCTACGTCGGTTTGGACAACAAAGCGACGGGAAATAAATGATTGGATCGGYTTGGTTGGCAGCAGCTCGCTCGTTCCCTGGAACGACGTCAATACGGTCTTTAGTCCGGACTTCGACACGGGCTGTTAGATTTCGAGCTTCGGAAAACAGCAACCCGTGCCTAGAGATGTCGACTACGACCGTGTTGAAGGAGTAAAAACAAAAATAGCTTCGACCGGGTGTTCGGGCATTGGGATGTGAAGGAAGCCGATGTGAGCAGCAAAGGAGATAGAAACTTTCAGCGGGGATCAGATTCGTGTTCTGCTCTAATTCACAGGAGTATTTAGTTCTGAACTGGCTCGGGGCATTCAGATAAGCAACTAACACCCAAGAGTAGCCGGCCTTGAGAAATAATATTGTTGATGACAATTATGTGAGATTATTTTTTTATCCATAGCCAATCTAGGTGTAGTGTACTCCACTACTCTTCGTCGTCAATGACAACGTCCCGTAGGTTCAAACCTACGACCACTCTATCGCAGGTCTCGTATCACACTCACCATTCGCCACTCCCCCATTACTTCATACGTGTCATCCAAAAGTACGGAACGAGCCGTACGAAGTACGATCGAACGGAATACTGTATTAAATACGAATGACAGTATTTACAGTACCTACTTGTTTACGGTCGAGTAACGCCTATTTGTTGGTGGAAATGACACGAGGGTACGGTAAGAGTTCTTATGCTTTTWAAAATTGAAGAAGCCGGCCACTCCGATCCGTATAAGCTCCTAAAACTACTATAGAAAAAGTAAGTCCTTATTTATTTCCGAATCTAACAAGATAGTTTTGTACTGAGGGTTTATGTCTCGACTGCTTTCAAGCACATTCTCCAAGAGAAACAAAACGCAACGATTATTGTTGGAAACATAAAAGTGCGTTAAATAAAATATTCGTCAACCAATCGATGTGTTGTCATCTTCAATTAGTTAATGATCCCAACAATTTTTTCCAGTTGAAATTACTATAGTTACGGTATGACGAGTGTTGCTCCCAATTTTCAACAAGGGATCATAATTTAGAGGGATGCCCAACGCGTCAAAACTTATTTTCCATCCAGGGTCCCGAATTCTGAGAATCAGGTCAAGGGTTTTTTCCATCTCATGTTTACTGCACAATAGTAAAACTATCCAACTTTTAATTTGTAATAGATTCATCAAGGATACTTCTAAAAGTGTATTTTTTGACTATTCAGTCTAGTCCAATTTTTATGAGGATTCTAAGTATTCCATTTTGTGAAGTATCAAATGGATTTCTATTCTATTATTAAATTGTTGAATAGTG